CTCAGTCTATAAACGAAGAAATAATTTTTTTTTTTTAAAAAAAGAGTTAGAAATGGAAAAATGAGGTCCCATAGGAAAAAAAAAACCCAAAAGAACAAATATAGCACAACACAGCTATGATTTCATCTGCACACATTAAACAGGTGCATGATATTGATCTCTATAACAACAAACAATAGTAATATCAAGCAGTCGTGCTTGTGACTCTTCGCCACTTGTCCTCCGTGAGACTTTATTGTGTGTTGGCAACCAAATTCAACCTCATTTTATTAAACCTGCTTGTGTAAACCAGACGAAAACCACATGAGCTTTACTTGCAACTGTCAATGTTAAAAAAGATCTTCTTAGGGAGGAGAAGAATCCAAAGCCTTAAACAAATGAAGACTTTGTAAACGACAAAAATAAAATTTTGATGCTTCAGAAAGGTGATTGATGATGGCTTCTTTGAAGTCAATTCAGGAAAACTCATTTACATATTTGGGCCAAATTAGTGATTTAAGTGCATTTAAAGTTATCTATAAACTAAACTGGCAGATGAGATAAATTCTCTCACACTAATCGTTGATGCTTTATACCCGAATCAACACAAAACCCACAACTACAAAAGGAAAAATAGAATATTATCTAAAAATTTCAAATGTTTAAAGTTTAACAGATAGCTTTTGTCAAACCGGTTTCTTGTTTGATGAAAAATGTAAAAAAAGAAACAGAGAAATCTTAAGGCAGAAAGGGTCGGGAAATGTTACAACAAGTTACAACCCCGAAACATTTTCTAAAAAAACAGCGTATCTGTCCAACCCATTTGCACACAAATCAAGTCGATGCCTAAATCGTCGGTAGAACCTAACGATAAAACCAGAGCTCCTCAAAAAATGGAATTTCTGATTCTTGTTGGTACTAAAACATCAGATATCATCCACATGAAACAATAATAAACAAAAAAGAAGCGTAAAGATTGAAGACCCATAATAGGGAGAATAAAATCCACCCGTCAGTTTTTTTCTTGCAGTCAACTTAAAGACAAAGAAAATGGGGATACTACCTTGGATTTTGGATTTGTTCTCGAGGCTGGTGAAATCAAAGGAACCACAGTTGGCACCTGAACGCATCCTTAGTATTTTCACTCAATATTAAATAGAGAATCGCGATTGAGCAGTTGTACGTCTTCCGTATGATGAGTTTTCAGAACCACCTGTTAAGAAAAACTAAAAACTAAAGCAAAGACCAAACTCAATCAACTGGCAATGCTCCAAACCAAAAGAAAAGTTTTCTGATTATCTTCCATGACAAAGGCAGGCTGCGATGCAAAATGACATAAACCAGAAATGACTAATTCGAAAAGTTTAAGTATAACAGAATAAAAACTAAATTCATACTTCAATACAATCACAGAGGACAACAATTAATGGTCGTCTTACCTGTAGTGAGGTGATCTTCACCGACAAATGGATCCCTAATAGGCAAATCCATCGCTTTAATATAAAACAAAAACTTTTGGAATAAAAATATGAGAAAGTGTATAGCTTCTATGCACAAGACGATCAGAAGACAAGACATTATTCAAATTCCCTAATGCATGACCAGTTTCATACAACTGGATACCTTCAGAATTGGTGGTATGCCCAGCACAGTTAAAAAACAAACAATTTCAGATTTCAAAGAATGAGACATGATTATTACCTATTTGTGTTTAATACTCGGTACTCAATCTTCACACCTTCACACATGCTCAACCCGGAAATCATATGACAATAAACAAAAACAGAAGTTAATTTAGTCTCATAGTAATAGTTAATGCAAAAACTTGGAAACATAACCTAAAACCGAAACCACTTTTCATCAATTTGGTGTAAATTAATATAAAAGGTCTCAGTTGCATGATATATTTGAACAATGCATTCGAAACATTGATTATGCATATCCTGTTAACATAGTATACAATATTACATATGTCTCATGGTACATTATTATAAACATAGTATAGCACAGTCAACACATTGATTTTGCATATGCTGTAAACATAGTGTAAACTTACAGATGTATAACATATAATATATATGTATCATGTTAATCAAATATGCTGTAATCAAGTATGCTGTAAACATAGTATTGATTAATTATGGTATGCCACAATTAATCAATCACAAACTTCAAATTTAAGTAACCATTCTTTTTGTGGATTTTTCTCAGGCAACACTTGAGGCGAGGCTGGGGAGCACATTCCGGCAGGCAAAAGGTGTCGTGCAGCAGGCCACATGCAGAGGAGTAAAGGTGCCTGGCGAGCACCATGATCTCCTTCGCCCAGATGCCAAAGACATTCGAACTACCAAACCAATGTAGAATATGGCGGTCATCTGCCCTCTTTTATAGCGGAAACAAGTAGTAAGAAATAAAAACGAACACGAATCGCATTAATAAACAATATCAATGTACAAGTGGATAGTTCCAAGTCGATATAATCAAAACAGCCCCCAACCGCTCCGACACTATTTCAGCTGTGATGAAGAACTCATCATCTCTCTTTTCAACTACAACCACAAGAATATAACGATGGATTAATCATTTTTTGCTGCCAATCCAACTACCAAGAGAGTGAGAACAATTTGAGCTCATACATTAATAAAGAAAATGGAGAAACAAAAAAAAAAAGAGAGAGATTACTCTTTCTGGAGTCATCCGTCGATGTAATTCCTTCAAAGCCAACTTACATGATGATTATACTCCACGAACCTAGTTAATAAGAACTCAAATATTAGCAACCAGAGTACAGAAACCATAAGACAATACTAAATTAACCCACAGTGGAATCTAATTAATGTGAGTTCAGGGTTTTCACCTGAGGTTGACCATGTCGGCAGGGGATGGAGCTCCGAGCATGATGAAGGGGTCACGGAGCCCGGAGGACAATGAGCTGTTGTGGAGGCTCATTAATAGCCACGGCGCAAAGAATTGGTCGCTGATAAGCCAGTCGATTCCAGGGAGATCAGAAAATCGTTTTGCCTTCGTTGGTGCAATCAACTCTCCACGGTGGTGGAGCACCAGTTGTTCACGACAGAGGAGTACGGAATCATCACCCAGGCGCACGCCGAGCAGGAAAACCGTCGGGCAAAGATCTCAAGACTTCTCAGCGGGCGCACAGACAACGCAATTGAAAACCACTGGAACTATCTTCCCCGAAATACAATTATGTTTGAAAAAAAAAAATCAAAAGCAAACGGAGTGTATTCGAAGTCAGAGCAAAATCGCAGAGCAAAAAAAAAAGAACACCCAAATCCTAGAAGATGATAAGAATCAGTTGCACTACCGTGTGCCTTGCACGCGCCTTTCACTCTCCAAAACTCTCCAAAACTAGAGAAATTAGGAGAGTGTAGTGCACATCCCCAATTTTTTATTTTTAATTGAAAAATGAGACATAATACATAAGTTAAAATATCATTAATTATTTATATTAAAAAAATAAAATAAAAATATCAAAATTCATAATTTTTCATTA